TAATGGATTAATGGGCCTAATTTTAATATATTGCTTAATGGGCCAGGTCCATTTATTAGCTGGCCCATTTTACTTAGAAGTACTATATATAGTTCATTATCATCTCCCAAAAAGGGGATGGATTCATTTGTAACCAGAGCTTAACAGAAACAGCAATAAAACATATCTTCAACTTTTGCTTTGTGATTCATACTCAGAAGACTCAGTTCTCCTTTCAACCCTTGACAAATTCAACTGTGTAGGATCCGCCGTCCACAGTTTGGCGCCGTCTAAGGGGACTTGAGATCTTCTTACTCGAAGGAATCACTCGGCAAGCAACCTAAGCACGATGACTGACCAGCGCGGCAACACACCTAGCGACAAAGATGCAGCAGCAAACCTCGTGAGAGACATCGCCGGGAGCAACAACACCAGCGACAACCGCATCGATAACACCGACGACAACCGCATCGATAACAGCAGTAACCCAAAAGAACTCGCGGCAAACACAGTCGCATCGAATAACTCTGCACAAGACAAGACAGTAGAAAAGAACACTGCAGGGGACACATCCACCAAAGAGCAGACACCGCCCACCGCGGAGGAAACCCCTAGGACCTTGGCTCGGATACAAGGCATGTTCGAAGAAATCCTTAGGAAGTCAAAGGAGCAAGACACCTTCAACAGTATGATGAAGAACCGAATGGACTCCCTAACCGCAACGGGCCACGGAAAAAGAACAGGATTCACGTGCCAAGTCATGGATCGCGTCGCCCCAACAACGCTTAACTTCTCCACGCCTTCAGAGGCGCAGAGAATTCATCGACGTCGTCTGCTCGATCTAAACGCCGAACCGACTCCCTGAAGCGGAGGACGAGACATAAATAAAGGCAAGGCGACAGCTGGCGGTTCGGCATTGACAGGAGGCTCGGCGGATCGGCTAGTAGCATGCGGTTCGGCACCAGCTCGCAAGCCAACATCGGTGGTCGATCTGGAAGATGACGCTGAAGAGGATAACCCCGACGAACCTGGGCAGGCGACTGCGGGACAAACCTATTACTCCGAAGATGAGCAGTATGCCGAAGAGCTCGCCGAAGAGGAAGAACACCTCCGCTGGGAGAGACGGCGAGCCCTCGAAACCCGTATAGTTGCACCACGAATGCAACGGGACGAATTAGACGAGATTTGTGCCTCTATGTACCGAAATGCTATGGATCTAAAGGC